AAAGCAAACAAACCATGCAAGACCCTTCGGATATGCAAAAAAAGCAAAGCAAAAAGCAAACAAACCATGCAAGACCCTCCAGAAATGCAAAAACAGCAAAGCAGAAAGCAAACAAACCCCACAAGATCCATCAGAAATGGGGGGGGAAACCCAAAAGCAAGCAAAGCCCACAAGACCCATCGGAAATGTAAAAAGAGCAAAGCAGAAAGCAAACAAACTGTGCAAGACCTTCCAGAAATGCAAAAAGAGCAAAGCAGAAAGCAAACAAACCATGCAAGACCCTTCGGAAATGCAAAAAAAGCAAAGCAAAAAGCAAACAAACCCTGCAAGACCCATCAGAAATGGGGGGAAACCCCAAAACGCAAACAAACCAGGCAAGACCCATCAGAAATGGGGGGAGATCCCAAAAAACAAACCCCACAAGACCCATCGGAAATGGGGGGAACCCCAAAACAAGATCCACCACAGCATAGAAGCATAATCCCACCACTCAGCACAAAATCACACTGCAAAACCCACCCAGAACAGTTTTTAAAAAGTAGACAGCAGCACCTTACCAGGCAGTCTGAAGCCTCCTCTGATCGCACACTCTCTAACTGCTGGGGTGAAAGAGCTACAAAGAAGCATCCTCTTCACCACCAATAGTTAGCAATTTGAATTCCCCACCTTTTCCCCCTGCCTTTTTCTGGTTGTTACTCAAAACTCTCGCTGCAAGTCGAAGCAAAATTTTGCAGCTGGAGCTGGTTGTAACTTGAAATGGTCATATGCTGAGACGTTCATAAGTCAAGGCACCACTGTATCTGAAAGGTGGTTTTTTTGTTTTCATTTTTTTTTCAAATTAACTATCTTAAAACTGAAAATCAACTGAAAATTTCCCGCATGTGGATGCAGGAAACAGGCAAAACAACATCACAGTGACTGAATGCCATTCCATACCAATAGCAAAGCCCACACAGAAGGCTGCATCAGCAATGGCGTAGATGCTGCCGTAGACAGAGGTGTGACGAAGATCCACCAAGTATCCCATGATCGGCATCATTGAGGAATCTACCATACCTATTCGGAGAACAAAACCAAAAACAATTTTATAAAAAAGGGCTATTCTTCCCCTCTAAGTTTCAAACCACATGTGATTATTCTTCAAATACACATATAGATACACTGGTGCCTCGCATAGCGATCGCTCCGCATAGCGAAGAAATCGCTTTGCGACACTGTTTTTGCGATCGCAAAAGTGATCGCTTTGCAATGGCCCCTATGGGAAAAATTCGCTTTGCGATGATCGCAGGGAAGCGATCATTGCAAAGCCCCCATTTTCGCACAGCTGATCGGTGGTTCCAACATGGCCATCTGCTGTTTTGCCTCGCTTTAGAGACACTGAAAATGGCTGCCGCAATGGAGGATTTTCGCTTAAGGTGAGTTTTAGAGCCCATAGGAACGCATTGAAGGGGTTTCAATGCATTTCTATGGGCTTTTTTAAATCGCTTAGTGACAAAATTGCTTAGCAGTGATTTTTGCTGCACGGATTGATGTCGCAAAGCGAGGCACCACTGTATGTGCATATGTATGTGCACATACATTTGGTTATTATGTAATAAAAACAAGAAATGGTCTCAATTTGAGAATAACCATAGCTCAGTAGTGGAGTAAAGGATTTACATGTAAATCTCTCATGTCTCCAGGTAAGGCTTAGAAATAATTCTTCCTGAAAACTTGGCAAGATGGCTGTCAGTCACTGTGGGCAACACTGGGCTAGGTAGACCAATATTTTAACAAAACTTAAGGTACCTCTTGTGAAAATTTCCACATTCCCCAAGGTCTACTAAAGACTAGACTTTTTGGAGCTACCACAAAAAACAGCTTCAGCTCCCAAGAAGAAAACCCAAGAAGAGACAGCTGCTAATTTCTAGTAGAAGAAGGTTCAAGAACTTTGGAATGGCCATCAGAAGGATCGTACCCTGAGCTGTTGATGTCATAATGTAGCTCACAGGCTACAGAAAAATTCATTTGGAGAGGGGAGGGGCTAGGTGCACATTTTCCTTTAAGAGTGGTGATTATGTAAAGGGGAGTAATGCCTGAACAAGGTCAAGTCTTTATGCTATGAGAATCCCAGGACATGGAAAATTTTAATCCAAGGAAGTGTGGGGTGGGGGATCAGATTTCTTCCTAGGGTACATTGCAGGAGTGTAAAACATCTAGGTCAGAAATCTCACCTCAGAAATCCCATCCCCGACTGAAGCCCTATGCCTTAATGAAGGCCTTCTTCCTAAAAAATATGTTTCCAGCTCGACACTACAAAATTCAATTCTTAAAAAAAAGCATCCAGTTTATGAACGTGGAATATTGTGCTTCTGTATCCATTAGTATGCATGCTAGGAAATTGCCCAATATTGCTGCACAATATTGTGCCTGTTTGCCAGCAGGAAAAAGGCCCTTTCACCACAAAGGCTTCACATTTATATACAGTACAGCCCCTCCTCCTGATGTCCCGCCTTCCACTCCCCATAGGATGGAACTTTCCCTCCAAACCCATGACAGACAGGTAACATCAGTGCTGTATGTAACAGTACCTACCTGTGAGCATTCGTTACTGTTTTGATCCAATTTGATCCTAAATATATCCAGAGCTGCCCTTTGGAACTTTGGTCTGTGAAAAATTAGACAAGTGCTTTTCAAATGTCTGGTCAGTTCCTCCAAGAGGGGAAGAGACCTTTCATTTTAGATAAAGCATCTGTTATGTTTAGCTCCTTGCTGAGACAACTTATCCAGCTTGACTAGTGGGGGCGGGCGGGAAATGGCAGTTCATCTGTAGCTATCAAGGTCTCTGTTTTCTCTCCATTCTACAGATGTATCATGTTGTGATGATTTCCCTTTGCTGACCAGACTTTCTATATAGCACTTTATCTACCTTGACCTGACTGCTGCTGGTTTCTACCCATTCTTCTTACTATCTCACACAAAGTAAGCAAACAATGAGACACATCCTTTCTCCCTCTCTTTTTTCTTTACTTAGAAGCCTGGCAGGGAAGAGACAAATCTTCCCAAAGGTATGGACAGGAGTCTCAGGAAGGAGGCTGAAGACTGTACATGGCTCTGGGGCAGCCACTGGTCTACCAAACTATCTGTATTTACAAGTCAGTCTCTCAAACTGTGTGCAATCAATGAGAAAGATGGAAAATGTTAGGCACAGCAGAAAACAGTCTGTTTTGATAGGCAATATAGAATAAACTCACTCTTCCTCATCTCTGTTTCTCCCCAAAATTGAAGGGGCTGCTGACAGATGTAGATATGTCACCACCCGTAACTCCTTAATGATGTCACTTTTGATTACAGATTCTCCAACATAGGTTTGAATTCATTACCTACATCAGGAGCTCCTCATGTGTAGAAAGGCAATGCATCCAAGAAAAATTTAGCCACTGCCTTTTCCCACTGATGTAATAAGCCAATATTTTATATATTAAACCATATGATTTCACCATCACCCAATTTCTGAAGTGAACCAGCCATTTTTGAAAGTGAAATTAGGTTATGCATCTTTCCTTTGAACAGTTTTTTCAAGAAACTTTACAAATCATACCAAGGGCAAAGCCAACTCCACTGTTGGGGGCAATAAGTCCATAGATATTTTGAGCAAGTGGAATCTGAGGGGCAAAAAGAAAGAGAAATAAGTGTGAGGACCTAGGGCACAAAAAAAACCCCACTAACATATTGTCTTGTATTTGTTTTACAGTCTTAATATAACTGATAAACTGCTAAAATATTTGGGTATCAGAGACAGGGCATGTCTCACACAATACTATAGGGCTATTGAGGTATTTATTAAATGACAAATGAGAATTGCAACTATGTTGCAGTGTGATGTACTACTCTTTACGGGTCCAGCAAGCCACAATCAATTCATTATATCCCAGATCCACCGCCCTACTTTTCATCTCACCCAAATGCACTCTGCATTTTGTAGCCATGAAGTATCTGCTTTGTTTAGCTGTTTCAGAGCAGGAACATCACTACTTAGGCTGCTCCTTTTGAAAGTGTTGTGCATGTGCAAACCTCGGTGTTCTTCCAAACTTGCTATGAAGGGATGGTGCTGTTTTGCCTACTGGGGATCCACACTTGAGAAAATCAGCATATAGGATTTAACAAAGATTTCCTTTGGTCCAACGCATCTATGTAACTTCTAATTTCAAGTCTCCTACTAGGTATTGCTGAACTCCAACTCCCAGCTCTGCCATAGGCTATGCTGGCTGGAGTTGATTGAAGTTGCAAACTATTACTCAGCAAACTTTGAAATGATCCGAATCAACCCCAGGACAGTTACATCTCAGACAACTAGTCAAAGTTCAGAAAGGTCTGAGGCCTCTTACAATATGGTCTCCTAACTGCTTTCATACTTACACAAAGGAGACTTATTCCCACAACCATAATCCCAATCAGTGAGCAGAGCCACCTGTGAAGAAAAGTAAGAGAGAGAGAGAGAGAGGAGATTGTGAGATGTGTTCTGAAATTGTCATTGCAATCTTGCTGAAGCTAAGGCATTGTGCTATCACAATCTCTTTATACAGAAACTGGGTCCTTTCTAAGGACAAAGGTAGGATGGAAAAAATTTTAATAAATAAAATTAAATATAAATACAAATCTATGGTGTAATTAGACTTGGAATACTGGATACAATCCAGTCCCCAGCTCTTACAAAGGATAACATACATCTAGAAAAGATACAGAAAAATGCAACCCAAATGAGCAGCACTGGGAGCTCATGGTGGGGGATATAAAATTATGCTAGTTGAGTTGTCCCTAATCAGTATACAAAACCCTTGAACCTGGGACTACCTGGTGAGATTGAATGATCCAAGAGAGACAGAAAGAAGTACTTTATATGGTGCACAGTTACTCTGTGGAATTTGCTATCAAAAGGTGGGGCAGCAGGCACTAACAAACAATATGCTCATCTTTAGAAGGGGATTAGATAAATTCATGAGAATAATGGCTTCTACGCATAAGAGTTGTATCTACCACCTGGCAGATCACAGAGATAACTGTGATCTCATCCCCTACTTACGGGTTTTCCTAACAGGTGCAGTTTGTTTGCAGCAGAAAATAGAAATGCAGGCCTTGGAAAAGTTACATTTTAAAAAAAGAATCTCCAAGCTAACATGGCCATAATTTTTCCAAGGTCTGAGAAACTGCAGAACTATATAAGCCTTAGGTTTGACACAGGAGATCTTTTCTTATGCTCCAGTCTAGACCTGATCTTCAGTTGGGGAAACAGCTGAATTGAGCCATTGGTTCTCTCTCTTTGGAAAAGACACTTCCCAAGTTGCACATTTGGACATTCGTTGTCCAAATGGTGCAACCAAAACTAATGCTATAGCAGAAACATGCAGGATTGCAAATTTCAAAAACCTTTGGGCTCTTTCACTTACCGCCCCATCTTTTTTGCTAGCATCCCAAATAGGTTGGTACCAATCAGATAAGATACACTAGCAGGAAGAAAAGCTACACCTGGAGAAAGAAATGCAATACTGTACATGGAAACAAAACTCATCAATTTTTAAAGAAAGGCTTAGAATTCCCCATGCTACAAAATCCTGTCATCTGCATGTATATATAAATGCAGACACATGCATATTCTCTAACAATGACAACAGACAATGAATAGTTAAACCTGTACTTCTGCATTATAGATTTGATTGGAGGGAGAGAGAAAGTGAAAAATTGTACATCTTTTTAAATAATTTCAGACAATTTTATAGAAGTCAGGTAAAATAGGCATTAGCTATAACAGCTAAATTGAGCCTTCATCTATATATATAGGTAGACCAATTACTACGTGTTGTTGTTGTTGTTTAGTCGTTAAGTCGTGTCTGACTCCTCATGACCCCATGGATCAAAGCACGCCAGGCCCTCCTGTCTTCCACTGCCTCCCGGAGTTTGTTCAAAGTCATGTTGCTAGCTTTGATGACACTGTCCAACCATCTCGTCCTCTCTCGTCCCCTTCTCCTCTTGCCTTCACACTTTCCCAACATCAGTGTCTTTTCCAGGGAGTCTTCTCTTCTCATGAGATGGCCAAAGTATTGGAGTCTCAGCTTCGGGATCTGTCCTTCCAGTGAGCACTCAGGGTTGATTTCCTTCAGAACGGATAGGTTTGTTCTCCTTGCAGTCCAGGGGACTCTCAAGAGTCTCCTCCAGCACCACAATTCAAAAGCATCAATTCTTCGGCAGTCAGCTTTTTTATGGTTCAGCTCTCACTTCCGTACATCACTACAGGAAAAACCATAGCTTTGATTATTCGGACTTTTGTTGGCAAGATGATGTCTCTACTTTTTAAGATGCTGTCAAGGTTTGTTATTGCTTTCCTCCCAAGAAGCAGGCATCTTTTAATTTCAGGGCTGCTGTCACCATCTGCAGTGATCATTACTATGTAGGTGGCATCTATTTTGTCTTCTGATCTGTAGACTATCAGCACCATCTTAGTGTCCTGGTGCGATTCTCATTCACAAACAAGAAAGATCACAGAATCATTGAATGATAGAAAAGTGAAGTTGGAAGGGGCCTACAAGACCAACAAATCCAACCCCCTGCTCAGTGCAGGAATGCAATCAAAACATATCTGCCAGGTGATTATCTAAGTTTTTCTTGAATGCCTCCAGTGTTGGAGTACTCACCAACGCCCAAAGTAACTGATTCCACTGTCGTACTGCTCTAACAGTTAGGAAGTTTTTCCTGATATTCTACTGAAATCTGGCTTTCTTTAACTTGAGCCCATCGTTATGTGTCCTGCACTCTGGGATGATCAAGAACAGATCCTGCCCCTCTTGTGTATGGCAGCCTTTCAAATATTTGAAAAGTGCTATCGTATCAGCACCCAGTCTTCTTTTCTCAAGGCTAAACATGCCCAATTCTTTCAGCCTTTCCTCATAAGGCTTGGTTTCCAGCCCTCTGATCATTCTTGTCACCCTCCTCTGAACTTGTTCCAATTTCTTAGAAACCTTCTTGAAGTGTAGTGTCCACAACTGAGGTGAGGCCTAACCAGTGCTGAACAGAGGGGACTAGCAATTCATGGGATTTCGAAACTATACTTCTATTAATGTAGCCTAAAATAGCATTTAAGGGACATGGTGGTGCTACAGATTAAACCACAAAGCCTCTGGGTTGCAAGGTCGAAAGACCAGCAGTTCGAATCCACATGACAGAGTGTCCCAGCTCCTGCTAACCTAGCAGTTCAAAAACATGTAAATGCAAGTAGATAAATAGGTACCACCATGGTAATGGTGTTCTGTGTCTAATCCTGTTGGCCATGTGGCCACGGAAACTTTCTACGGACAAACCCTGGCTCTATGGCTTGGAAATGGGGATGAGCACCGCCCCCTAGAGTCGGACATGACTGGACAATTGTCAAGGGGAACCTTTACCTTTACCTAAAATAGCATTTGCCTTTTTTGTAGCCACATCACACTGTTGGCTCATATTTAGCTTGTGATCTATGACAATTCCATGATCCTTCTCACTCATAGTTTTGCTGAGCCAGGTATCCCCCATCTTGTAACTGTGCAATTAATTTATTTTTCCGAGGTGCAGGACTGTGCACTTATCCCTGTTAAATTTCATTCTGTTCCTTTCAGCCCAGTGCTCTAAACTATCAAGGACATTTTGAAATTTGTTTCTGTCTTCTAGGGTATTAGCTATTCCGCCCAATTTTGTACCATCTGCAGATTTGACAAGCATTCCCTGCACTCCCTCATCCAAGTCATTAATAAAGATATTGAAGAGCACTGGGACCAGGATTGAGCCTTGGGGTACCCCACTAGTTTCTCAACAGAGGGTTCCCCAACCATCAGGAGACTTCTTCTAAACCATCATCTCTGTAATTCTAAAAAGGCAAATGAAGAACATAGGTGTGAAATAAGTAAATGAAGTGAAGTCCGTGTTGCTGGTTAAATTGGTATCTGGATGGAAGCCCATGGCTGGTAACCAAGGCAGAGAGAAGCTGTGCCCTTTCAGATACTGATGAACTATTACTCCCAGAATCATTCACTATTGGCCAGGCTGGCAGGGGGTGATGGGAGCATGAGTCCAACTGCATGGAGGGCCGTAGGTTTCTCAGTCATGTCCTAAATTATGTCAGAAGGCTGTCTTGAAGAAAGGGGGGAAAATAGGAGGGAAAATCTATCTGTAGTTGCTTTGAGAATTTGTAGTGTCATGTTTGAACAGCATTCAGTACAGGTTCCTTAGCTGGCCTCTTTAAAAACTCATCCTTTCTTCCTTTATTCCAGTGTCACACATTGAACCAACAGAAAGGTTATTTGTTCTGCAGTTACAATTAAACCAGAATTAAATATGTGACCGACTGATTTTCAGTTAGTTACTATTAATGTACTCTTCTTCAGTATTTATTACTGGCGTGTCTATTTGCCTGAAGATAGAGCATGCTTATTGAATCTCAATTGTTTGTTTTTAATTTCCTTCAGCTGTGCTCCTTTTATTTATTTTCCAGGTTCTCTGGGAAAATCTGCCCACTCTCAGATTTGCTAAGAAACAACAGCTTATACAAACAGAAGCAGCAATTGAAAAATGCTCTGTGCCAATAGTATTAAAGTATTCAACCTATAGTCTTATCTCTCATCTATATCCTCTACTATGCTTTACAAATACACTATTTAATAGTACATATAACAAGATCCTGAATCTCTAACTAGGGTCCTTTTTTGCATTGGCAGGAACAAAACACAATGGCATCAGTATTTGCAGAGATATGTCTATAGATTCCAATCTGGCCACTGGCCACCGGCCACTATTGTAATACATGTTTTCTGATTGGATAATTTTTATCTATTTGTATTGGTGCAGCCTTAGTTTTAAGGTCCATTTATTTCAATGGATCTGCTCTTATCTGGTCCACCCATTTTGTTTTAAGTTGGACAAAAGAGTAGAACAAGAAGTACATTTTTACCCTGCTCATGCCCCTTAAGTTGGACAAAAGAGTAGAACAAGAAGAACTTAGTACATTTTTACCCTGCTCATGCCCTTTTCATGTTATTATGGCAGCAATCCAATGAAGTAGTCCTGATCCCCAGGATCTCTCCCTGAGCATTATAACTTATCCACAGTTAACAAAGTTCTTCGGGTGATGCATGTTGGAGGAACTGATTGAGACATAACAGAATACTAGGCTCCATGATGGAGAGTTGTCCCTTTCAAGTTCACCATTATTCAAGGAGGAGGCAGAGCCTGGGAAAAATAGTCAATGATGGTCCAATAGAGATAAAAATTGCTCTTAACCTTCTGTACTTGTTGGAGCACATAGCCAGCTTGGAACTATCCGTGGCCCTGCAATGCCACCCTACACACAGAACTCTGAGAGAGCAATTCAAAGTCCTGTAATACTACCCAGAGCCTACTCATTTTGGGTGTCCTATTGCTTATCTTAGTCTCTTGCTTATCTTCAGGAAGAGTTCAGTCATCCCCAAAAGAGAGTAACAGGATCTCTGAAAGTAATGGATGTTGTCCTCAATCTCAGAACTGAGTAGTTCTTTCCCTTCATTCCATGTTTCATAGACTCTGTGCAAGTAGTGTGCAACAAATTTACCCCCTTTTTGCTCCCTTGATTGCTCATTCCAGAGGATCTGAAAGCCAGAAAAAAGACAGACAAATGGTTCTTACAGAAACATCTCTGGCAGAGGGCTCCTCTTGGCTGACCAGTTGTTTCCTTGGTTAGCTCTCAATAACCCTGCTAAACATAGCTAGTAATTTGATTTGAGTAGTACATGTAGCTCAAAACATCCCCAAAGGTCATCCTTCCACAAACAGGACATCAGTATTTTTTTTCTTTTTTAAACAAAAGTTTTCAATTTAATCTTATTATCCAATCCCCGGCAGTATATAATTGCTGTGTACTAAGTCACCCTCCCAGTGCCTGTAACATTTCATTTTAAAACTTTAATCAGTACATATCTCCTTAAAAACTGTGTGACTGCACTTATCTGAGAGGTTGAATGCTCCTGAGTATATCAGCTCATGGAGCAGGGGGAGAGAAACACACCCATCTCAATGTATTTGTCACAGTCATCAGATGCAGAGTTTGGAAAGCTTCTTTGTAAAAATAATAGTTTGTATTGCTCTGTGTTTAGAAAGCAATTCATTGTTATTTCTCATCACAATGTGTTAAAAATTGACTCACTTATGACTTTTTAATACTTTTTTGGAGGAACTGTTAGGATTTGATAAGAGAATGGCATATAACATGCACAATTCCTTTTGAAATGCCTTCATATGTACCCTTAAAAAGTAACTAGAATAAAATATTACTCATTAAACAGTCAATTTATGTCATTCCTGTTCATTACATTGTCTTCAAAATGGGACTTTATCACACCTAAGATATCAATGTAACCTACAGATGTCTACTTTTCTGGTTACTGATGATATGATCACATGAAAGAATACATACATGTCTATGTTGTGATTTGCTGTCAGATCTAGACTGCAAGCAGTTATCAAGGAGGAGCATGAAACTCCAATCCAATCAGGAAGCAATTTTCTGGTCTTCTGCAGAAGTGTCCAATGAGGAGGACAAGAGCCGATACTAAGATAAGATATTCTAAACAAAGTTCTGAGAAGTTAACACTGAATTGGCTATTATATTACAAGGCCTGTGCTATAGTTTTGATAAAAGAATGGATAACATTAGAAAATCAAGGACTGTTGAAATTGGAAGGTCATGATTTAAAAATGGACTGGCATGCATATGTGTGGTATGGAAAGTTCAAAGAACAGACACATTTCTCAGAAAACATTGTGAGGAAAGTGTTATGTCTAGTATGGCAAAAATTTCAAATGAAAACTTACAAGAACATTCCAATATGGGTAGCACCAACAGAGGCATTTACATTGTAAGTATTGAATCAGAAGGGAGTTTTACCTACATATAAAGATTTGTTAACTAAAGATTAAACTATGAAAGACAAACAAAATCTAGAGAAACTGGGTCTAGCGACAGATTGGTGGTCAGTGCTGAAACTAGAATCAAGATATAAAAAGGACAAAAATATGGGCTTTTTTGAGGGGAAAATTCAGGCGAATGAATTATGGATTTATATGAAAGAGGAAATAATAAAAAATGTACACATGCCAATTAGAATATGATCTAGAGGATGAGAGGGTGAAGAAGACGATGGTAAAATGGGCACAAAACTTTGGCCATAATATTATATTGATGACTAGACAAAAATGTGGAAAGATAACTATTAAATGATTAAACCAATTAGTCTTAGAGAAAGCATCCTTAAAATGTTTCATAGATGGCATTTTACTCCAGTAAAATTGGCAAAAATGTCAGAAGGGATCAGTAATGTTTGTTGGAAATGTAAAAAACAATCCAGGGACTTATTATCATGTATGGTGGTCATGTGAAAAAGCAAAAAACCAAATTGGTTACATGTTTGGGAAATGTCACAAGAAATCGTTCAGCAAAAACTAAGTTTTAAACCTGAAATGTTATTATTGAATATAATGCCAGAAATTATTGATAAGAAAATAAAATATAGTCTACTTTATATATTTACTGCAGCTAGGATACTCTGGGCCCAAAAGCGGAAGAATGGAGAAAAGCCAACGATGGATGAGCTATTAAAGAAGCTACTGGATATTGCATCATTAGACATACTTTCAGAAGTACTACAGGATCAACCAAGACACTTTGTAAAGGAAAGCTGGAAGCTGATATATAATTAGGACCAAGAAAAGACAGGAACACAGTGGAAGAAACAGTTTATGGCGAATGAGTGCTCACTAGAATTCTTTGATGATATTTAGATGCCTAGATGATGGAAAAATTTCTGATCTCTATGTGTAGTATGGATGTTTAGTTTTGATGTTTTGTTGTTATTTGGTGCTATTTCTGTTTGGTTTTAGTTTTCAGTTCAGTATGTTTGTACAGTATGTATGAAATAAAAATACTATTTAAAAAAAAACAACACCAGTAGTTGCACACATGGAACTAAGATCCCAGATTTTGCCCGGGTAGTTTTTTATGCATGAATATGTTCAGTTGATGAAGTACTTGCACAATTCATGATATGTTCACTTGGGAAGTAACTCAGTTTTCAGTAAGAATAAAGATGGTTGAGCCATTACTGTATATCATGGAAACATAAACTCGATATCATGGGTCCAGTTACGAAATTACAAAAATTGCATTGAAAAAGTTGGGGGAAGGAAGGAAACAAGTTATCTTTGTAGCAGATAGTCTTGGAGTTCTTTGAAGAAGGCCCTGGAGAGTCTAGGAATATTTAGTGAACTGTTAATGGGCTTTGGAGAAAGGCAAGGAGGAACCCCATATGGTGTATCATTCATTGCCAGAGGTACTTCCCAAGAAAGCTGCCAGTCTTTTCTGCTTGACATTTTGGGTGTGGGGGAGGGGGGAGACAGAAAAGCAATGGGAAAGGTGGGGAAATTATAGGTGAAACACAAAATGCATCTGGACCGCTATTCTTTCTCAGGTGAAAGTCAGCCTATAAATGAGACAAATAAAAATGAAATAAATAAATTCCTAATCCTTTTAATAGGAGAAAACCTTTTAGCTGAAAACAGTCCAGGAAGAGTATAAAGTTGAACCTACCCAGTTGCCACTCTGAAGAACACATGGTTTCCATCATCCAAATGGGCAAAGTGGCTTCAAGAATAGCAACTCCCATGTTAGCAAAGCAGATAGAACCTGAACGGAGAAGAGATACTGAATCTTTATCATAACTGGGAAGAACACATATCTGTCCTGGTGAGATTAAAATTTAAATTTAGGCAATAGTGGGGCAGGATGGGAGACACAAATACTCAAATATTTTTAAAGGATTTGTTTTTTAATAGGTTTGGGTTTTTTAAGCATGTGCTCATCTTACTTTTGAGAGTTCTTGGGGGTTTTTAGCTTAAAGAAGTTTCTCTTTCTGGACTATAATTCCCAGAATCCTGATACTCCAAAAGTTCAGAATACTTGTTCTCAGTCTAATAGAAGCTACATTTCCTTGGTGGATATCGATATCATCAAAACTGTATTTCTATGGGGAAGGCACATTGACTTACCTGCTGCAATCAAAATGTAGGGATCCCACAGCAAGGTTAAAAGAGGAGTTCCACTGGTACTCTGCAAGACATACAGAAAAGGTAGCCCCCAAGGATCTCGTGAAGAATTCCCCCCACACACACATACACACACACTATCTTCACCTAAGGCTGCTTGAGGAATGAGGGGAAAGGGTGAATTTGGAAGGGCTGCTTTTTAAACTCCTGCTCCATGACACTTTTTGTCTACATGACCAATGGCCAGGCTGGTTGCTGAATTCTGGAAGTTCTCATAAAAATTATACTTTCCCCCAAGCTTTAGAAATGGGGATTCTACCAAGGGAGTTTGCTGTCCATGATACAAGGATATATTCCCTGGGGAGAGGGGAACTATAATTTTAAACATCCCCAAATTTAAAACAGCTCATATAAATTGAAAATACCCATCTTTCTTATATTGAATGGTTGGTTCCACCCACTTTTTAAAATTTGGAAATGGCAGCCTGATTGTTGATCTGTACTCCTGCATTGAGCAGGAAGTTGGACTTGATGGCCTTATAGGCTCCTTCCAACTTCATGATGCTGTGATTCTAACACCAATGGTAGCAGTCAAAACAGTCTATAGCAGTGGTCTCCAACCTTGGGCCTCCAGATGTTCTTGGACTTCAGCTCCCAGAAATCCTGGCCATCAGAGGTGGTGGTGAAGGCTTCTGGGAGGTGTAGTCCAAGAACATCTGCCAGCCTAGCAGTTTGAAAGCATGTAAAAATGTGAGTAGATAAATAGCTACCACTATGGTGGGAAGGTAATGGTGTTCCGTGTCTAGTCGTGCTGGCCACATGACCACGGAAACTGTCTATGGACAAATGCTGGCTCTATGGCTTGGAAATGGGGATGAGCACTACGCCCTAGAGTCAGACACGACTCGACAATTGTCAAGGGGAAACGTTACTTTTACCTTACCTCCTGAGTCATAGTTTGATAACTCTGTCCACTACACCATACTTCTTCTCCTACACTAAATAAGACTCCCTAATTCTTTGTCTTCTTTATCTTATTGCTTGCTTTACTCCAGGCTCTATTTTTGTTTATTCATTTGTTTTGCTTTTTTGCAGGTTTTTCTTGTTTACTGTTCATCTGATGTTTTATACTAACACTTTGCCTATACTGTTCTGTTTGTACATATAATGTTTAAAAATCTGGCTTTATAGATCCAGTGTGTCAAAAGCCAGTGGGGAAATAGATGATTAATAGTGAATTAATAAATGCAAAATTATTGTTGAGCCTACCTCAGGGGAAATCTTTGATGGATGCAAAATACAAAGCTGTAAAGCTGAAATAGAAATATCATTACTAGACAGTACCCAGTCAACCCCAATGGAATATCATTTCAGTTTTATTAAACATAATCAGGTACAATTCTCCCTTTCCATTTCTGTTCACTGTCAATTTTCTCTTGGATTCTGAGCTCTGGCAGCCAAATCCTAAGCATGTCTTTTATGCAGGAGGAAGTTTGGCATTCTTCAGTGCCACTTATTTCCAAGCACTACATGTACAGTATCCGAGCTTGTGCTTCCATTTCAAGCCCACAACTGGGGATGTGACTCAGTCTTAGCACCTACTCACCTCCATTCAATAGAGCTAAGAATGCCAAGATCAGAAAGGGAGAGGATTTGCCCACAAACTCATACATCACACTTCCAAAAGGAGCGCCAACTGCAAGTCAAAAACATCAAATCAATCCTGCTGGTGTGGAAAAACAATATTAACAATATTAATATAAACAGGACTATAAAGTGGCAGTGAGAAACTTATTAATCGTTTAGCTCTCTCTGCTTTCTACATTACATTAGGGACAAGTTCCTGACTAGGGGGTATTCGTATACTTTCTGTTGGGACCCTTCTCCAAATGCTCTCTAGCCTTCTCTGATTACACTTCATGGCCCTCAGCTGCTGGTTAAACCAGGGAGCTGGTCAGGCTCAGCGGCAGAGAGGGCATTTAGGTGTGATCATGTCAACCCTGATGGCAGTGGTGTACCAGCCATCCACCAAAGCATTGACAGGAGTGCCAACCAAGTCAGCCAGAATCCCCCGCATGGTATCTTGGAATCTATCAGGATCCAGTAACCTGCTGGGTCGGACCATCTTAATGGGTCCAAGCTCCCCATGGGAGGGAAGTGCCACTGAGAGGCTGCATTTAATTAGGTGGTGATCCAACCATGACAAGGGGGCCGATACCAAGTTGGTCACCATCGGAGTACACTCTCTCTGCTCAGCAGCAAAGACCAGATCCAGCATATGACTGCCCACGTGGGTAGAACCATTGACTTGCTGGGTCAAGTCCAAGGAACCCATAGTTTCCAGGAACTCATGAGGTGGGCTGGAAACTTCAGCCTCTGCATGAATGTTGAAGTCCCCCAGAACCAATAGTCTGGGGGACCTCAACAGTGCCACAGAAATGAAATCCGCCAGCTCCAGCAGGGACTGCACTGGATCGTGGGGAGTGCAGTATGCCAGCACAATTCCAAAGCCACCCTGGCCCCAAACGACATGTGGACGGCCTCTAGACCTGGGCTTGCCACCACAAACAGTCTAGCAGCCTCAAAGATGTCCTTATAAGCAATGGGAACTCCCCCTGCCCGCCCGCCCGGTCTGCCCTAAGCACGGTCTGCCCTGGTGTTGGATGGCATACCCAGGTGGGCATATGAGGAAAAGAGTAGCTCCTCCATCAGCACCCACCCATGTCTCAGTTATACAGGCCAGGTATGCCCATTCCTCCAGGATCAAGTCCTTGATGAGTTGGGTTTTGTTATGGGCAGTCCTGGCATTTATTAACACCAGGGACAGAGAGGGAGGCTGGCTAAGCTGGTTACCTAGGTTCGAACAGGTGGCAGCAGAGCTAGAACAGGGGACAGCCTTCAAGCATCTGTCTGCTGTTCTTCTACGTTTGATTGCTACTGCACTAACACCATATCTCCCACTGCGCATAATTACTCATATATTTGAAGCACCCTTGCTGGAGTAGAGGGTATCAGCCACACTAGCCAGAAAATTCTTGGAAGGGCCATACTTCAGAGAATTTGCCTCCCAACCAATATCAAGATACAGTAACTGAAATCTCCCATCACTAATACATCATGTCTCTTTGAAATGTTTGCAAATTGACATAGCCAGTCATTCATCTGGATGTTTTCCTATCCATTTCTATTTGTCTTTTGAGTATTGCTAAAATAGATAAGAAAACTATGTGGGTTCCAAAGTCCTTAAGTTTCCTTCCCAGAGCTTCAAAGTCTGAGGTGCTATCTTCAATGTTGCTCTTGGCTGTGTTGTTTGTTCCCACATGGATGAGAAGAAATGGTTATCTGTCACATCCCTAATCTGCTTCAGCGAGACAGCATACCTGGCAGGTCCATGAGTCTTCCCGACATACTTCGGTTTCCATAGTAAGGGAGTCTCCTATAATACTTACAGTATTTTTTACCCCTTTTTTTTGGTAGAGCGTAGGTTCAGTGTCTCTGCTTGACTGAATTTCAGTCCCTTTCATATATTCCTGCATGGTCTCCTCTTTGACTTTTGTCTACTTGTTGTCTGCCAGACTCCTCATCAAGAACCTGAAAGCGGTTTTGCAGTTCCGCTGATGAAAATAGTCGTCTTCTTTTACTCCTAACTGTAACTCTTTTCCATGGTGCTTTGCCACTGTTTATTTATTTATTTAATTAATTTAACTTATATGCTACCCAAAGGTCTCTGGGCATCTTACAACAATTGAAATACAATAAAAAAAGATGAAGCAATTAAAATACAATTAAAATAGATACTCTAAAAATTGCCATCAGGACCCACAGTTGATATTATTTCAATTAAAAGCCTTCTGGAACAGGAAGGTTTTGACCTGGCACCAAAATGTCATCAGTGTCGGCACCAGACAAATTTCAATTCAAAGGTCTCTGGGCATCTTACAACAATTGAAATACAATAAAAAAAGATGAAGCAATTAAAATACAATTAAAATAGATACTCTAAAAATTGCCATCAGGACCCACAGTTGATATTATTTCAATTAAAAGCCTTCTGGAACAGGAAGGTTTTGACCTGGCACCAAAATGTCATCAGTGTCGGCACCAGACAAATTTCAATTGGGATGGCGTTCCATAGTCTGGGGGCAGCTGCTGAAAAGGCCCTTTGTCTCCAAGCCATCCCTCTTACCTCCTTGAGGAATGGCTCTTTCAAAAGGGCCCCCTGGCTAGATCTTAACTGCTGGGTAGGTTCATATGGAAGGAGGTGGTCCTTCAGTATCTAGGGCCCAAGCCTATGTTTGCTCTCTCCTCGGCATTCTCTTCCTCTGCCTTCCTTTGTTGCTCTTCCACCTCCAGTGCCTCCATTGACAGCAGCTGCTGCTCAAAAGTTTTGTCAATGTATAGGTCATCTTCCTTTATAGCCTAAAGTGTGGCTACTCGCTGCTCCGCTTCTCTCACTTTTTCTTCCAACAATGCCATCAGTTTGTACTTGCTGCATGTGTACGCCATGTTACACTCAGGGACAAAGAGAAGCATTACGCAAACGTTGCAGGTCATCCATCACAAGTGAACTGTCTCTTCCCTCCACAATCAAACCTTTTCGCTTTGATGTGTTTGTCTGTGAATACCCTTCCCCTTAATTTTGTTGCCTTGAATGTAGCTGAGAAATTCCATTAATATACAACTATTTCCAAAGTCCAATAATTTTGTTAGGGGTCTCCCCTGTCAAACTCTTGTTAGTTCACCCTGACCGTTAGCTCCCTGGGTCTGCCTCACCTTTATTCCTCATCTGCGCTCTGTTAGGAGTCACCAATCAAAAGGCCCTCCCAGAACTCACAGCTGCTACTTTAGCTCTCGTCAGTAATCAAGACACACACACCCTTCCTGTTAAGTTGAACACACAGCCCTTGCTGTTGAACTGAGCACACAGTGCTTCTGAATGGGGAATTCCTAGGGATTACTCCTGATCCCTTCCTGGTGTTAATCTAAAAACACTCACCTCTCTGCCTTTGTCTCCTTGCTTTCCCACTTTCTTTTGTTCCTTCATCCAGTAGACCTTTCCTTTCTACCTTCCCTTCCTATCTCTCCCCCATCAAACTCCTGTTCATTCGCTCTCTTTGTGAGCTCCCTGGGTCTGTCTCAGCTTTATTTCTCAGCTGTGCTCTGTTAGGATTCAGCAGTCGAAAGGAGACTCAATGAGATGATGGAAGGTTAGCTTACAAGAGGAGATAGAAGCAGGGAAGGAAAAGAGGGAGCTCATCATAAATATCTTCTTCGTGTGGTCAAAGCTTTACTCACCAAGTACCCCTAAAGCCAGCCCCCCTAAGGCTATTCCCATTGCATTTCCCCTCTCAGAGTCATCCGTGTACACACTTGCCAGCATCCCCAGACCTGCAGAGTGAGCAAAGCAAATGTATTTTGAGCATTGTTATTAATTAACATAAGAAGTAACCTTAGTACACTGAATCAGTTGATGACATCCAGCTAACGATTTTCTAAACTAACAATGAAGAATTTTTTTTTTCCAATCTGGGAGCCAAGCTCCAATATGAAAAGGGACTCAGGGGAATACATTCTAGAATTGGCAATGGAAAGAAAATGGTTGTGGGTCCAAAGCAAAGTGGGTTGGACCAGACATCTACTAAGGTGGCTAAACTCCGGCACAAAAGCTTTATCAGCTGAAAATGCAAGCTCACTTCCACAGAACAGCTTTCCTAGCTTTGAATGGCCACTTCTCTCCCACTGTTGAATGGAAACCACAGAAGAAAGTTCAAGCAAACTAAATCGGGAGCCCTTGAATCCTAGGGACAAAAGTTCTTCATTTCTAGCAATAGCTTACTAGTTTCAGACAGAAGTCTTGACCAGGCCTAAACGATCTGTTCTGTTACTAAGCTATGGCTCATGTCCTGTGCTGCTGCTACTGTGTCCTGCACAAGTACAGTTTTAAGAAGCTGTAATAATGCCTGGCAGTGCCCCCAGATTGCTTTTCTAGGATATGTCACTGGGCTCAACTAAATAGCACAGACAACTTATTAGAAACAAGAACTCCTTCACTGTTACAAACCAATATCTATGGCTTGCAGATCAGTTTGCTTTGTTTTGTGATTGGTCAACAGGAATTCGACACCAACTTAGTCTGCATTCTATTTGCTTACATATGACATTGGGAGCTGGAAGGTTAGTGTAACAGAAACACAAATGTGTTCTCTTCTGATGGTGTGCTAAGTGTAGCATCTGATTCAACCCCTTAATGCCCACCAGTACAGTATGTTTACCTGCAACAGAGGAACAGGCAGAGCCAATACCTTGCATTGCTCGAGCAATGAACAGCAAGATGTAGGTACTTGAGAAAGCAAATACTAAAGGAAAGGGGGAAAATACATACTTGTTATACTAATATGCTCAAAATGCTACTGTAATATGTGTTGAGATGTTAAACAGTCTCTGCAGTGCTGTTTGTTGATCTGTTTTACGTCTAATTTACAACATACTATGACATTCTAGGATGAAAAGGCGGGTTATAAATGTAACAACAGCAGCAGCAGCTATTCCCTCGGATATCAGACTCAGAGGGCAAAAGCTAATGTTACTGGAGCAAAAATGGTGCCCCAAAAAACAAAAGTTCTCAGTGGTTTAGGTATCTGGCTGCAGAACCAGAGAGTAGGAGTTCAGTTCCCCCCTGTGCCTTCTGGGAGAAGAGCCAGACTGTGTAGCAATGGTAAGCTGCACGGTCTCAGGGCACCCCCAAAAGAAAGGAATGGCAAACCACTTCTGAGTGCTGTCTACCTAGGAAATCCTGGAAAGGGTTGTCATGACTTCAAATCACCTTGATGGCATACAATTAATTGTTCTTATGAAACAAAAGGGAAACATCAATATATGCTAGGGGACCCTGAGTCTTCTCTGTGTTGAGTGCTTTCAAGTCACTTCTGACTTATTGTTTGTTGTTGTTTAATCATTTAGTCGTGTCCGACTCTTCGTGACCCCATGGACCAGAGCACGCCAGGCCCTCCTGTCTTCCACTGCCTCCTGGAGTTTGGTCAAATTCATGTTGGCAGCTTCGATGGCACTGTCCAACTATCTCATTCTCTGTCATCCTCTTCTGCTCTTGCCTTCACACTTTCCCAACATCAGGGTCTTTTCCAGGGAGTCTTCTGAGATGGCCAAAGTATTGGAGCCTCAGCTTCTGGAAATGTCCTTCCTGTGAGCACTCGGGTTTGATTTCCTTCAGAATGGATAGGTTTATTCTCTTTGCAGTCCAGGAGGCTCTCAAGAGTCTCCTTCAGCACCACAGTTCAAAAGCATCAATTCTTTGGCGGTCAGCCTTCTTTATGGTCCAGCTCTCACTTCCATACATCACTACTGGAAAAACCATACTTTTGACTATGTGGACCTTTGTCGGCAAGGTGATATCTCTGCTTTTTAAGATGCTATCTAGGTTTGTCATTGCTTTCCTACCAAAAGCAGGCATCTTTTAATTTTGTCACTGCCTCCATATCTTCCTCTTCTGTTTGCCAGGAGGCGATGGGGCCAGTGGCCATGATCTTAGGGGTTTTTTTATGTTGAGCTTCAGACCGTCTTTGCATTCTCCTCTTTCTCCCTCATTAAGAGTTTCTTTAATTCCTCCTCACTTTCTGCCATCAGAGTGGTATCATCTGCATATCGGAGGTTGTTGATATTTCTTCCGGCAATCTTAATTCTGGCTTGAGATTCTTCCAGTCCAGCCTTTCGCATGATGTAGTCTGCATATAAGTTAAATATGCAGGGGGACAATATACAGCCTTGTCATACTCCTTTCCCAGTTTTGAACCAATGAGTTGTTCCATATCCAGTTCTAACTGTTGCTTCCTGTCCCACATATAGATTTCTCAGGAAATCTATATGTGGGACAGGATAAGGTAGTCAGGCACTCCCGTTTCTTTAAGGAATCGCCATAGTTTGCTGTGGTCCACATAGTGAAAGGCTTTTGCATAGTCAATGAAGCAGAAGTAGATGTTTTTCTGGAACGGTCTGGCTTATTCCATAATCCAGCACATGTTAGCAATTTGGTGTTTCTCTGCCCCTTCAAAATCCAACTTGCACTTTTGGGAGTTCTTGATCCACATACTGCTGGAGCCTGCCTTGGAGGATTTTGAGTATAACTTTTCTAGTTTGTGAAATGAGTGCAATTGTACGGTAGTTGGAGAACTCTTTGGCACTGCCCTTCCTTGGAACTGGGATGTAGGCTGATGTTTTCCAGTCCTCTGGCCACTGTTGAGTTTTCCAAACTTCCTGGCATATTAAGTGTAGCACCATAACAGCATCATCTTTTAAGATTTTAAGTATTTCAACTGGAATGCCATCACCTCCACTGGCCTTGTTGTTAGCCATGCTTTCTCAGGCCCACTTGACTTCACTGTCCAGAATGTCTGGCTCAAGGTCAGCAACCACACTATCTGA